GTTTTGCAAAATTTGTGTTTTGAGATAGTTTTGTTTAATCGAAATTATAATTTGAGATTAGTTATTATATTTTTAAAATCTGGGTTTTGATATTCAAGCAAGTTCTTTTCGTTTTTTGTCTTATAGTAAATTAAAAATTTAGTGTTTCTGATACATTGATGAATATATATGTTCACATGGAGTATAAATAATAATAGTTGTTTTCTTTGTTGGGTTTTGGTTGTGTTATGAATATATGTTTTCGTTGACATGAATTTCAAAAATCTTATGTATATCTATAGTATTTTGAGAATCTTGGTGTATGAGTAAAATTGAAGAGATTCCATCTCCCAATAACATTACATTTTAATAGAATTGAAGAATCAATGAAACATAAATTTTTTGAATAAAAAGGGATTTTAAAAGGAATGTAAGAATCCATCAACMAATAACAATGGAWTYTAYWAAKWMTYAAARTCTTTAAAAATCCATCTACCAATAACCTCCCCTAAAAAAATCACCGATACACTGGCAGACTGGGATGATATGATAACCTAGCTAGGAACTTACAAGATTTTTTCTCAAAAAGAAAAAAACTTGGAAGACTTTTTGATTTGTAATTCTTACAAAATTTCTATCAGCAAATAATCCCATAATATATTGCAAATTTTTAATAGTCTTTTTATAAGAGTACAAAGTCTTTTTTTTTTTAATGAAAATGTGAAATCTCACTTTTAACATATAAATATTGCAAGCATTTGTGACAGCCTTTTATAAGAGTTTCTTACAAAATTTCTATCAGCAAATAATCACATAATATATTGCAAGTATTTATTAGTCATTTTATAAGAGTACAAAGACTTTTTTTTTTTTTAATGAAAGTGTGAAATCTCACTTCTTGCATATAAATATTGCAAGCATTTGTGACAGTCTTTTATAAGAGTTTCTTACAAAATTTCTATCAGTAAATAATCTCATAATATATTGTAAGTATTTATTAGTCTTTTTATAAGAGTACAAAGTCTTTTTTTTTTTAATAAAAGTGTGAAATCTCACTCCTTGCATATAAATATTGCAAGCATTTGTGACAGCTTTTTATAAGAGTATTGTATAAAAAGAAATAAACAAAGCATAGTCAGATTACAGCTTTAGATAAGTCGTTACTGGGGTGGGACGGATCCGGATATCCTGGAAGGGTATCCGCGGATATCCGGATCCAAAATTAATATTAAAAATATTAAAATAATTAATAAATAAATAAAAAATAATGTTTTAAAAAAAGAACTAAAAATAATGGTAATAAAAAATAATGTTTAAAAAATAAATTATTAATTAAAATTTTGAATG